GAAGTGGCATTTCGCAGCGATTATGGTATAGAAAATCAACTTTGACTGGAAGCATATTTGGCTACTCTTGATTATAAGACCCAGAAAATGCGTCTATGGAAGCGATGCGGCAGAAGCCCTACATCTTTCAATGGATTTCCTGAGTGTCTCTCACGCCGAATTGGTTGCCGATGTCCAGAAACTCGAGAAAAAAGCCCAAAGTCGGTCGGCTTGTTACCCTGAGTGCCTGCTTGAGTTGTTTGGAGTCTCTGGTGCGATGTACGGTAGTTGCCATAGCTTTCAACAGTTCGTAGAACACAATAGCCATTCCTCAATAACTCCTCAAAAGAAGAAATATTATGGCAAAAGGAGATTTTGTGATCTGGCTGACCACCGCCCTGGGGAGCCTTGAGATTTAGCATGAAACATATTGATTTACCGGTTGTATCGTAATTGACCCGACTACTTTGCTTATGGTAGCAAGGAGTAGTTCCCTCAAGTGAACCACACCCGCGAGCCATGGTTTGTGGAACTGAGAGGACGTACATTCCAGCACTGTAACTTGAGAGAGCAACTTTCAAAAATGGTAAAGCTGCAAGCGATTCGATCACTGACAGCTCCTACAAATGAATTGCACCGCTATTGTTGAACAATAATATTCGGAAACTGTAGGTCTCCACCGGCACTATTCTTGGAAAGCCTTGCAAGGTTCACTTCATCCAAGCAACAACCGTGAAGGAATTTTGAAGATGGTCCAGCAAAATTTCCAAGCCCCCTTACGGGATAATCTGTCTCACCTATTGTGTTCAGCAGATACGGCCCCAACGAATGTCTGCTTCTGTTGCTGCCGATTCAACTAAAAATGCAAGCCAGGAAGATCAAGTACGACGTCATCGGACTGACCGAGACGAGAAGGCACCGCCCGCTACACGCCGTTTTCGATACTGGAGAAGAACTGTTCCTTGGAACATGCGACAGCAGAGGCGTTGGCGGTGTGGGTGTCCTCGTCAACACGCACTTGGCCATAAACATCGATTCGTACGAAAGCCTTACGACCCGAATCGGACGTTTGAGATTGAGAAGATGTGGTTCAACTCCTGCTTTGACAATCTTCGTCGCCTACGCACCAACATCGAGCTACGACGAGGAGGAACACGAAGCATTTTATATGGAATTGGAGAAGTTCTACAAGGAAGATCATACCTTCTTCAAGGTCATCGTCGGCGACTTCAACGCCAAGATTGGCCCGAGAAGAACGGCTGAAGAACTTCACATCGGTACTCACGGAATGGATTGGAATGAGCAGGGCGAAAGACTGTCTGAGTTTATCATGTCGACCAACACCATCCATGGTAACTCACAGTTCCAGAAGCCCTCTCACCTTCGTTGGACTTGGGAGTCACCTGATGGACAGTTCCATAACGAGATAGACCACATCATCTTCAATCGAAGGTTTTGCCTGACCGACGTCGCTGTTGTTCCGAAGTTCTACACGGGATCGGACCATCGTCTCCTCCGCGCAAGTTCCACTTTTCGATGCGTGTTGAGAGAGCCTCAAAGTTCAGGAAGCGAAGCCCCAGGACAGTCATCAACTGGGATCACTTCACTTCTCTTGTCGACTCATGCGAAGACTCCGTTATCGAAAACATCGACGAGGAGTACTATCGGCTCGTTGAACACTTCACGGTAGGAAGGCAGAGAGTTTGAAAGTCACCAAGGGACGTCTGTCTCCGGAAACTCTCGAACTGATACGCCAGCGTGGAGCCGCACGAGCTGCAGGCAATCACCGACTCACGTCCGAGCTTGCGAAGCTATGCAGAGAGGCGATAAAGGAAGATCTCAAGGAGCGAAGAGCAGCAGTATTAGCTGAAGCAGCAGAGGCTGGGAGGAGCATCCGCAATGCCCGCCGAAGCTTTGCCAGCTACAAGACCAAGATGACCTGCCTCCGACGTCCGGATGGAACAGTTACTGCATCCCGAAGGGCAATGGAGAAAGTCATCCACGACTTCTACTCGGATCTCTTCGATAGCCATGTCCATCTGCCTACTTATCAACTGCAAAGGATGGATACGTTGTCCCCTCAGTTCTCTCTTCCGAAGTCCGACACGCCATCAAGTCGGTGAAGAATTGTACAGCGCCCGGTCTCGACAGGGTTAAACCGGAACATCTGAAGAACGCACCGCCAGTTATCATCAAAACTCTGGCTCGACTCTTCACGCGCTACCTGTCGGAATGCAAGGTACCCACTCCGTGGAAAACCAGCAGGACCGTGTTGCTGTACAAGAAGGGAGACCTGGACGACATTGGCAACTATCGCCCAATCTGCCTGCTGTCTGTAATCTACAAGCTATTCACTCGAGTCATTCAGCACGATCCACCTCAAGATTCGATATCCACACGGTTACGAGACTCATTGAAGTTTCACGAGAGTACAAGGATGCCGCTTTGTCTCACGTTCATCGACTTGAAGAAGGCCTTCGACTCTGTGGAGACAGAAGCGGTCATCGAAGCCTTGGGCAACCAGGGCGTCCCTACTCAGTACATCAAGATTCTTCGTGAGCTCTACAGCAACTTTACGACCAGAATCTCACCATTCTACAAGGAGGTCATCATCAACGTCCGATTCGGGTCGTAAGGCTTTCGTACGAATCGATGTTTATGGCCAAGTGCGTGTTGACGAGGACACCCACACCGCCAACGCCTCTGCTGTCGCATGTTCCAAGGAACAGTTCTTCTCCAGTATCGAAAACGGCGTGTAGCGGGCGGTGCCTTCTCGTCTCGGTCAGTCCGATGACGTCGTACTTGATCTTCCTGGCCTTGCATCATCAGGTCTTCGATGTGAGCTTCGGATGCAAGCGTCCTTGCGTCCTTCAAGTGAAAGAAGCCCTTTAGTGAAAGAGATCCGTGGGATTTCCACAGGTACAGGTCAACATTCATGTTCTCGGTGCTAAATGTCTTCAATGTCTCCGTACTGGAAACGCTGAAACCGCAGGTGGATGTGCGCTTCGAAGGTCAAGCTTTGCTGTTAAATTTCTTGAGCCCTATGCGATGAAAATCGATGGTCCTTTGCCCTTGCTTGGGGTTCTACCGCAACTTTTACAATGCTTGCCTGATTTCCTTGATTAAATCGAGCTTAGTTTATTTTTTCCTCCCCCCTCCCTACAACTTCTACAACTGGATTTCGCAAGTTGGGTTGGCGGAACTATCAAGAAGTTAGTATCCGGAGCTCTACTTCCAAGTCTAATGAGTTTGCAGTGCTGGCGACTACTGCCCTTCCGCGCTTCGATTTCCACTCCGTGTTCTGGCAGATCTCCTTTTTGGAGCCCATTTGGTTATTTCGCTTACGCTTATCAGAGATATGTTTATTGCATTATTCGTTACGTTATTTTTTGTAGCTTGACATCCGATAGTAACTATAAATATGATTGTGAAAACTGACAGAAATTCTGTTGTACATATATCTTCTTGAATTTTTACCCTCCATCCCATTAGAGAACGAGTTTTCCTCCTGAATTTCCAGTCTCTTTCCTACCAATGTATAATTATGAAGGCGTAGACCTGCAGTTAAATTTTGTATATTATAAAGTCAAAAATTTAACAGAAAACTGCTTTGAGGGACAAAGTTCCCAAATGATGAGCGAGAGCTGAGCACGCCAAAAAGGGCGTGGTACCACCAGCCTGCTTCGTGCGAATCCACTTTGTCGTCAAAGGGATGAAAACCTCGTTTGGCATACAGCAGCAAAAACAATTACTTTCACATCAAATGGCAGGTTTCAAAAAAGGACAACATGGAGGCACTCTTTCTTTTATTTAGAATGGCTTATTTATCCCACTACTGCATCCAGACAATAAAGAATATGTGAGATTCATCTATTTTATGCTTGACCTCTACTTACGATCTTTACAGAGTCGGAGATAACAATCAATCAAGCATTGTAGCTATCAACAAAAACAAAACATGAACAAACAAAACAAATAAACAGATTGCAGTGCTCTTAGAATTGAGTATACGTCGCTTCCCTGTCGCGGTAAAATTCGCGTTTGGGTGGAAGGGTTACACTCGGTTCAATCAAAGAAGGCATCATAGCGAAAGAGGCAGTTAGGAAGCTCGCGCCGAATATTTTCAAAAGTTCAGAACAAATACTAGAAAATCATTTAGGAAATGCCACCAATTCGGTTCTGCATTAATACACTCTTTTGTTTGCGCGTTCCACTGCGCCACAGACTATTAATTCCATTTAATTATTACATACCAGGAATTGATCATCACGTAAGACCGAACAGGAAATAGTGACCATGCCACACCTCACTGTGACGTCCCTAGACTTAGCAATGCGGCTATGGTAGTTCTTAACACTTGCACAAAAACTAGCGGCTATTAATTTTGCGATCTCTTTTTCTAGAATGACGCACTTCCCCACATAACTGGGATAGACCTCAGTGGTAAAACATATCGCGGTTTCCTTACCCGGTTTCCGGTCCTGCATCAGTCAAATTGAACGAGCTCTGCCGAAGGCTGGAGTAAGACCACAGCCCCATATGCCTGAATATGGGTATGAGAGCATCATAGCTGATATCTACTGTACAAATATGTTATCATATAGTGCAAGTAGTCTTACTTGCTTTCTTGCCATGGTAAGCGAAAACATAAAAGGCATCTTCATCTTTCACAACAACATCTGCAGCGGGACGAATATCTTTTGCATCCATATCCACGTATAGATATCCGACCTGAAAGATGTTTATTTGAGAGGGTAGCTGAAAATTAACGAGCTTAGTAGCAACAATATTCTTGTCAAATTAGAATGGTCCGGGTTGATTATCAGCAAGTACCGTTGCCGTCAAGCTATCTAACACGCAGGCGTATGAATGTCAACGCTACTGCGAGGAGCAGACTTCTTTCAGTCTTGGTGACCACAAGAATGCTGCTGTAAGCCAACTAACCCAGCTTGGAATCGATCCGGACGTCTTGCTAACTTGGCAAAAATGCTATTCTTTCACATCATCTGGGAAATGCCACACCTAAACCTTGTGCGCGCAAATTCTGATATACATACCATGGTAGATTTCAGTTCAAAAGCTGACTTAAAGGACGAATTCACGATGAAAAGCAACCCATTTCAAATTAACCTAGGGATGGTGAGTGGTACACGAAAGAAGGAAGAACCATGAGAAACGGCCCAGAACCCGAGAAATGGTACCCCTTCCTTGCCCGTTGATTCGAGCATTGATGCGACTCTCATCGCTGTGCCCTCTTCAACACTACGCTCTCTCTCGCCACGTATTGAACTACGGCGAGTGATCAGATGATCGGTGGGCGGAGATCGCCGGACCCGCCAGCTTTGAGGCATGATAGGTCGCCGAGGTCAAATTTTCCATGCGAATTGCGCGTCAGTTCGCACCCTCAGGAGGTCCGTGGGTCCCTCAACTAGGTCAGTTTCCCTTTCTTCGACCTTCATTCTAATCGTGAATTCCTCCTTTAAAGCGATGAACTACGATCAAGAGTGTGTGCAGCATGAAAATACATGCACCAGCGGAAACAGTAGCCAAGCCCCTTAGATGGCGAGATGTAGGCTTTCCCAACATCATCATCATCGTTAGGTCATTCGAGCGTGTTTCCTTGTAGCTGACATCGGCTAATCGGATTGAACCTGCAAATGATCCCTTATGCGTTGCTGGATCGTCCGTTATCAGCTGTCACGGTTCACGCGAACAAATAGTATCGCAGCCCAAGGTGCGCTAGTTGCAACGCACGAGCTTGCTCCGCTCTATGCACCGCTTCCGCCTCCCACGAGTGCTGCCGACAGCAGCATCATTCAGTCATCCTTTCGAAAGAGTACTTTGAGCGATTTCATCATATTAGTCTTCTGTGAAAGTCTTTATCCTATTAGTCTTCTGTGAAACGCGTTATCAATCGAAGCGTTTTCCTTGCTAGCATGACATCGGCTATCGGATTGAACCTGCAAACGATCCCTTACTTGATTGCTGGATCGTCCTTTATCAGTGTCAACGGGCGAACAAAATAGTCCTATTTTGCGTGTTCTCGACGAATTCTTCTGCTTTTTCCGCTAGCGCACTCTTTAGCACCCAAACTCCCACTGTAAACCTAATCCGATTTTATCGTAATCCCTCGCTTCAAAGTGAGACATGGCCCCCTCCCCCACCAAAGCAAGACAGTCTGCGTTTCATTTCGGCAACAGCAGAACGTTCCACTAACAACTCAGCATCTTCGATATGAATTCTCGAACTGCAGAAAAGAAAACAATCACAAAACAGCACAAGTAGTCAGTGATTTCCCCCAAGCAGTTGGTGGCGGCTAGCTGGGTGATGTCACAATAACAGTTCCACATTCACCAATTATCAGGTTGTCTCGAAAGTTCGGGCGAATTTTCAACTTCTTTTTGAGCCCAGTTTATTGCAAACACAAGCAGTATCTGTCTTCAATACTTTTTGCCAACAATCAACCGAAGAGTGACCGCCTAACTTTCAGAGGCCTGGCGGTTACGAGCTGAAAAAGGCAGTGCGTTGCATTTGGAGGTGCTAGTAGGAATCGTATTTTTTGTCCGCAAGATCATTGCTAAGCAAAAGGGCAGATGTCTTTTAGAAGGGCTGACCTCCATGGCACAGTGAATATAATAGCGCTTTTCAGCTGGGCTTCAATATCTGGAATCGCGGCATTTTCGAATCATGCGGTCTTGGTTGCCGTGGAGCAGACATATACTTTTTTTGAGTTTTGAGGACAGTTGCTGCAGTTTCGCTGTGAGTCTCTGCGTTAATCACGCTAGAACTGACTGACTTCATAGCTCTAACGAACGAGTGGTTCCATACTGTTGCCTCAAACAGAAGCGGAGCGTGGCTCCATGGTGAACTTATCCATTTTTTAGTCTTTTCTACTTGATCCAGCCAGTGAAGCTTCTTTTCACGAAACCTGCACCTCAACTGCTGTAGCGATTTTGTTCAATGCATACGGTTGGATTAGAAAGCAACTTATATACCAGACTCATGTCGCACTCCTATTATCAGTGGTCAGCTCTCAAGGAAGGCTTTGTCAGAGCTTCAACCCTTCTACAAAGGAGCGAAATGAAATGTGCATATGAAACATCAGGGTATAATCAATCTTCACTTAGAAGGTTATCCTGTGAGGATTGACTCAACAAGAGAGCGCAGCCACTCCAAGTTCGACACCTATGTCTTCCTAAACGAGAATCTTCTCCAGACTGTAGTCTCCTAAGCAAAGAAGATCCGTCCATTCTGACCGCATGTGGCAACGACAAGGAAGTGTAATTTGCAAAGCAAATGTTACTTCCGCTTCGATTTGCGATTTTGTAGCAGTTCGTGAATCAGAGCATGAAAAACACAAACAACACTCTTGAACCGAGCAGTAATGTGCTGAATGCCCACGGTTATGCCAGCTTCTGACTCCACAGAATCAAAAGCTTTCTTCATGTCGATAAACGTGAGGAATAGTGATATCATCACTCTTACAATACTTTGATGAGCTTCGTCACAGTGATAATTTTGATACATTCATGCTAATACAGTGCGCGTCAATTGTATATGCCACCCCTGATTTTTTCAGTTTTCTGACTTATTTGGAAATTTCGTAAATCGGCATAGCAACCATCGTTTTCGCGTGTCGGAAAACTAAGAATGGTGTTGTTTGATTATGATTAACGCGTTGATTTAAATTGCTCTGTTCTTTGGAAGAAAATGGGCCGCGCCAATTGCTTATGCTTGCAAAATTGGGAAAATTTAAGTGTTCAAGGAGCACTAGGAGCGTCTGGTACCAATCACTGAACTCGATCGAAGTTTTCTTATCAAGGCGATGCAATGATGGCCCATGCCACCACTTCGGTGTCCCGTTCAAGTTACAACTGGCCCATGTCATCATTTTCGCTCGCTCGGTACGAAAATTTTTCCAGAGAGAATCCGACAAAGTTCGGCGATGGGTACTACGCGGATTGTGAGTGCAACTCATATTCTCTCTGAACAGAGACTTTGTGAGCGTGAACGCTTCGAGCTTCGCGGGAGCCGAGACCACAAATAAAGTTGACCACGGATTCGAAGCGGGAAAATGAGAATTAAGAGCTCCTTGAGCACTTCAATTTCCCCAGTTTTGCCTGGATACACTCCTCGATGAGTTCTACAATAAGCAGCAGGAGCGATCGCAAGAGTGAGCACACAGCACTTTCTCTGATAAAGCGTTTTCATGCTGCTACCGTCCAGTATTAGGGCTAATATTCCGAACTAATTAGTTATAAATGCTCCACCATTTGTGTGCATTGCATAAGTCGAGGATTTCCTCATTTGTATACATGCATGCACACCGTAGCTGAATAGCGTTAGAGACATGAGAAATTCTGAAGAAACTTTAGGATGGCATAAGCAATTGACGCGGCCCATTTTCTTCAAAAGAACAGAGCAATTAAATCAACGCGTTAACCAAAATCAAACAACACCATTCTTAGTTTTCCGACACGCCGAAAACGATGGTTGCTATGCCGATTTACGAAATTTCCAAATAAGTCAGAAAACGGAAAAAATCAGGGGGTGGCATATACAATTGACGCGCACTGTATAGCAAGTTGAATTATTACAATACTACCTTACCTACCAGTAAAGCCCAATGAGCTCCGTGCCCATGTCGCAGAGCTGGTTCGTAATTTTTCGCACAATCGTAAGCAACAAGCACAGCGGCACCAGAATCGATCAGATTGATTAATAAGGAAGCGTCCGGTAACGGAGTCACCGAGGAGTGCATTGGCCACAATGAGACCGCCAACTGACGGAGCCATTCAGCTGAAAATAGAATTTTGAATTGTTTCCTCAATCACCGACATTGCTTGAATGCAAGGTCTGCGGAGTGAACCTATTCCAGCCGGAACTATTGATATTGTCTCTTATATACGAAATCTCTTATACTCTGGCGACAGCGTGCACCATGCGTGGCCCACATGACGTTGTCAAGCCATTTTTTCGCGTATGAGCAGCTTCTTTCCAATTCCTTTATATTCACTGCATAAATCATACCATAACATAAGTATGTATAAGCGGCGGTGTCCAAACCATGGAAGATGTACAGTGCGTACCAAAAGTATGTGGACACCCTAAAATTTTCCATTCTCTTAAAAACTGTTGACTTCTGTACCATGCGACCACCACCATTCTATTTCTCGTATGAGAAAACCTTAGAATTTTTCATTTCTCACCAATTTACATGCAGCTTTATTTTCATTTTTTTTAAATTTTTTCTTTGTTTTAATGGATGGAAAAACCTTGTGTCACTGCACCCCTGTGTCAAAAGTATGTGGACACTTTTGAAAAATGGCAATATCTTCAGAATCTAAAATTGGTAGGCCTACCAAGGCTACTGCAACACGGTTGCACTTTCGTTGAAGGGCCTACTAGTGCACACACAAAGCAGCACAAGAAAGCATAAAAGTTTAAAACTACACAAGCTGGCTGAGCTAGTGCACGTTTCATTGCAGGACAACCAATCAGAAAAAGAGAAGCACGGAACATCACAATCACTTTTCGACAAGCCGCTTAATTGAACCCATTGATCCTAACGTGTAGTGCTTATCAAATGGCTCCCAGCGACATAGCGTCCAACTAATGACCATTTTGAGAGTTCACTGATGGCTCGCGCACACCGTCGACTGTTTGATATTCGTTTATTGCATCCTGCGAAATAACTTCAATCACTGCTCCTCCTATGTTCTTAACGTCGTGGGTCCACCTCGTATGTTGTACTTATTCTCACATCGGATTTCGCGCGCTTCGAAAAGAATTTTGTCATTTGTACTGGGTTTCCGCTTATCTTTAGTGCATGGCTCTAGAGGCGGACCAGTACTCTGAAATTGTAATGAGTTGCTCTTAGTCGTCATACTGGTATCCCTCTTGAGGCCAACTAGCCCGTTTCTTGATATATATGTCTCTTGATTTCTCTATATTTTGCCCATAATGCTTGATTTTTTATGTAGCAACTGTCATGGGGTGCTGTGTACTTAGTAGTGATGTAAGTGTAAATAATACCATAGTATTCACAAGAATTCGGGTTTGGTTGAACAACACTTCGCCCCCAGACGGATGTGTATAATAACTATTGTTTTGTTATCGGCCAAGAACAGCAGTTAACAAACAAAAACCAAGTAGTTTGTAATTCTCAAGCTTCAAGATAGTGGGCGCTTCCATCACTCCATGTGCGCGTCAAGCACCCATTCAGGCAAACCACCTAGTACAACCTCCACTGAGAAATTATTCGATCAAGGTGGAGAGCTGATTGGCTGAATCGACGCATTTGTACTACATTCTTATGCATTTGTACTAGCAAGCAATCAGGTACTGACTATTGTTCTTCATACGATAACCTCGTTTGAAAGACTCACCAACTTCAACTGTGTGGTACAGCAGTCGACAGAGGGGTTAGTAGCAATTTCGTCTCATAGACAGTCTTGCGGACGTATCTTTCGCGTAGAGCACCTTGTACCCCCATGAAGCTGAATTCGTATATATATGTCACAGGTTGCGAGAGTATCGTCGGTTTTATCTTGCCTGAAGGCAATGTCGGATTATGGTCGATTATATTCCCTCCCCGGAAAATATGAAAGTGGCTCAAAGTAGCTATGTGATACTGTTTTTCATGTTATTCATTGTTTGCAAGGCAAGCTTGGGGGGTGGCGTGCGTGTATGTTGGAGCCAAGACACCGGGAGCATTGCCGCCGTGCCATCCCCGTTGAGCTCGCCCACCGTTCTACGTGACCTTCCTCGAGAACGTGGGAAATCTTAACGTTTAGCTGTTGTGGAAGGTCGTAGGAATATCAGTCAACTCAAAGCCTATGTTACGGCCATTATCTAGAAATTTATCATTCTCGTTCTAGTGAGAGTGAAACTAGGTTTAATTTAATTCCAAAATAGGAAGCAGACAAAAACACACAGAACAGAAAAACATAGAAAAATCAGAAGCAGTCGTTTTTCATCGTAGAGTTTTATACCGTGTCGGTCAGCAGTTGCTGTGGACACATTATACACGTAGTTTCGTCGATGGCCTGCATGTGGGCGATTCATTATGCCACATGCCAGGGTTAGAAGTACGGTAACGTGCCCACGTGTTTGTGGAAGGGGGGAAACTTTTTCAACTTCGGTCACTTATGATTCAGCGATTATCACATTATGTTGATCGGGCATTCTCATTTAATCCGGACTTGCTTAAAGGCATGCCCCAGGATCGCACTGGTGTGGCTCTTGCACACGAATGTGAATGTATCGGTGCCAAGTGGGCCGGCAGTGAAGAAAAAAGGAAAAGAATCCGTCGAAAACGCTCAGGTTGAGGGCTCACTCACCTTCCTAATTGGCTGTGCTAAAGGAACGAGAGACTAAGCGCGAAGAGGAGAGTATGGGGCGAGAGAGCGCATCAGATGAGAGAGCACCAGACAACGGCCTGATAAGAGAGCTCGTTCGCTGCAGCTCGAGCAGCTTACTTTGCAAGCCCAAAGCGTTCTTGTCGGTCGAATTCCGTGCACGTGAACGCCACATTTGTGATTGTCCCCTAGGGTTCTATACTTCTGACCGAAGAGAAGAGTTCACACGACCTCTGCCTGGGTTGTGCCTTTAAGGCTCGTATATAACGACAAAGAGGAGTTCAGACGTAGGGCTCTTGCCGCATCGCTTCCACTGACGCGTTTTCTGGGTTTTAGAATCAAGAGTAGCCAAATATGCTTTCAGTCAAAGTCGATTTTCTCAGCCATAATCGCTGCGAAATACCACGGCAGAAATGCTCTGAAGAGATCATTGACTAGGGTTTACAAATGTTCTCACAATGGATGGTCAAAAATTATGCCTGAAGATTTCACAACATACACATGGAATAGGCGAAGATTTTTGGGACAACCTAATATAATTCGCTAATTCGTGTGTGTATGTTGTGTGCGTGTGTGTCACGAAATTCATAGCGCGCTTCGCTGCAACAGTGGAGCGCTGTATTTTCAAGTATGTTGTAGGGGTGGGACGGGAACATATTTGGTGGGTTACAAAAGTGATGATCATTGATAAAGACTGGCAAGGAGCGTTGGAACGCAATTTCACGAAACTCACAGCGCGTGGTCCAGTAGCAGTGAGCGTTGTCCTTGGGATAGTTGTAGAGGGTATCACTTCATTATATAAACCAGAAGTTTGGTGTGTCGGTTTGTTTGTGTGTATGTGTCTGTCTGTCCGTCCGCAAAATGAAGTGAGTGATAAGGAAGCTCATGGATAAACAAGCCGCTAACAAATCTGGGTAGCTCGCAGGGCTTGCCCTATCAATGTTTTGCAATGGCATCGTTGTGATAACAGAACAGTGGCTATATAAACACCTACTAGCACACTCTTGGTTATTCACACTGTGCAACACTGGCGGTAGAGCAGTGGAGAGGGGAGAGGAGGAAATGGAGAAGAGGTGGAGGAAATCTCTTTAAAGTGGAAGGCGTCAAGATTATGCAGTGAAGAAAGGTTCCGGTAGCTCTCGGGGGACGTCGTACATGTGGCTTGCCGTGGGCCGGAAATCACGCGACAAATTCGAGCGAGGTTTTAGGCATTTACTGCTTCAGGCGCCTGTGTATTCTTCAGTTAGTTTCCTTTCTTTCCTTTTCCTTTCGTTTTAATTTTCTTCCAATCCTTCTTGATTTTTTCTTTACTTTATTACCAGCTCACTTAAAAGCAGTCAATTGCATAAACTCAATCAAGTCTTCAGCAAATGATAAGTTTCATTTCTTCTATCAAGAAAGCCCAAACTCATTAAACCGCTAATCCTTTCGGGGTTCTAAATAATGGTGAATGTAAATAAATGATAAGCCTTAGCTCCTCACTTATGTAAATAGGCATATTTCATTTTCATTTTGAGACTGACAGCAATCCTATTCACCGCTAAATTATCTGAATTCAAGAAGAATGCTGGATGTTTACAGTTGTGAGATAAATATGCCAGTTCAGCTCCAGACGTTATCACGCGTATTCTCGATGAGCTTCAGCGAAACTGGGAAAGGTCTAACACATTCAATAGTGAGGTGGTTAATGGAGTACCTCATGCTGATATTCCATGGGTCCTCCAGTTTCGCTAAAGCCTGCCGTGTGATGCGCGCGATAGCGGGCGGAGCAAAACTGGTTAAGAGAAATTAAGGGTAAAAAAAAGTGATAACAACTATAATGATTGATAAGAGCGCGTAGCATGAAAACGTGGGGGCCACCAAACTTGTTAATTAGATACGCAATAGGAAAACCTTCATTCCGTTTGTGATGTTGTCGTCAGCGCCGACATCCATTGGACCGCTACTTGCCCAAGCTTCTCATAGATGGTGGTTGTTGGCGGAAATACATAAGCATTGGTGTTTCTATCTCAATATCGCTGGCACAGAAACCTATTCAGTCGCTTAACTTTCCCAAAATCCGAGGCATCACAGTTAGGCTAATAGCAAGCAACCCAAATAATCGTATTAGTCATCTGAAACATATTCGGCCGCCAGGTCACATTAGCTTCCCAAAAATGTTAGATGCTTATAGGATTGGGAGGTACGGTGAATGATTACTCTACTTCCAGCACTGTAGTATTCTTTCGTTAACAGCAGCAGTCAGATCCATTAATGCTACCTGATGCAAGAGCCCGGCTATTCAGTTGTACTTAAGTCTACTTCAACATGCGCGCGGTAGTGAGCAGAGCCAAAATGGTAATTTAGAAAGCGCGAGAGGCAAAATTTAAGTGGTAGAAACTGCTTGTTTACATTAGTCTTC